GTGAAGTTCAATTTGAGAATAAAACTTTGTTTACCAAAGAAGAAAATTCTGATGGAGTTTTGGCTTTCGTTGATCCCTTGAGAGCTCATTTAAAATTTTTTTGCTGAATTCAATTTTATCTTGTAGTAGAACCTGCTCAGTACAGTGTTAGATGATCTTATAACTAGAGGCAAAGGTTAAGGATCAACTGTAACCACAAGTAGGCTAAAGACTAAAGAAGACCAAGACTAGAGGGTTCCAAGGGGTTTAAAGTGAGGGTGTACACGTTGCTGTTTTTCTATATTCAGTTTGTTAAAGATGTATTGTGTGTGACTTAGAAATGAAATATGGTAGCATCCTGACAAGAAATGATGGAAAGATAGGTTAAGAATAGGAATTTGTAGTACCTTCCCAGGACAGGCAGGGAATACAATGAAATCTCCAAGGCAAAAATTTTCTAGTTCACAGTGTTATGATGTTTCTTTGTAAGAAGTGCTATTTTTCTTAAAACTCCAAACTTCCAGAATTAGCACAAAAAAGAAACTCTTCTGTGGGCATGGGTAGCTAGACCAAATATGGGCAAAAGATTCTCCCTTGTTTCCTTATGCAGAGCTGAGTCAGGTCAAGAACATTTAAAATAGACTTTTCTAAAGACGAGGGGCTTAAAGCAGGAAATAACATAGAGCCAGGTAATCTGCATTCGGAATGTAGCTTCTTTCTACATATACTGTGGGGCCCTAAGGGTAAGGACTAGCCCCTGCCTGTGCTCTTGAAGACCATCCTTGGGCCTGCCTCTTCATGGATGCGGATGTACCACTTTAACAACCAGTTAGGAATGCTCTCCCAGACAACCAGCAGTCTTGAAGTCCAAAAGAAATGCCTCCTCCAGCGACCTACTCTTTGCATTTCTATTTAGTGATACTCTATTCTGCCAAGCACTGCATTAGACACTTTAAATATTTATCTTGTTTAAATATCATATAAGGCTTGTGTACTGAGATTTTATAGAGAAGGAAATTGTGGTTCAGAAAGGTTTAAAACATTTTTTTCCCCGAAGTTACACAGCTAATTAAGTGATGGGGCTGGGCTACACACCTGGTCCTGTTAGACTCTAAAGCAAGTACTTCGAAACTCCATAGTGCCTTTCAATTTTAGAGTGCTATCCTTGGAAGGTTTAGGTTTCATTTTTTTAAAGAAGAATCTCTTTTCACCCACAATATTATAGCTCCTAGAAACTTCTGCATTGAAACATCCTGTTCTGAACTGTGTTGAGGCCCCAGTCTTTGTCAGTGACTAGAAGACAGCTAACACAGGGAAGGGAGAAGAATACTGGAAACAGACTGTTACACCAGGGCTCATGTGAACATCATTCATCCTCATCAGAAATGGCCAATCTGGGGCTTCCCTGGTGGTGCAGTGGTTAAGAATCCACCTGCCAATGGTTCGAGCCCTGGTCTGGGAAGATCCCACATGCCGCGGAGCAACTAAGCCCGTGCGCCACAGCTACTGAGCCTGCGCTCTAGAGCCCGCAAACCACAACTACTGAAGCCCGTGCACCTAGAGCCCACGCACCGCAACAAGAGAAGCCACCGCAATGAGAAGTCTGCACACCTCAACGAAGAGTAGCCCCCGCTCACTGCAATTAGAGAAAGACCGCGCTCAGCAATGATGACCCAACGCAGCCAAAAATAAATAAATAAAATAAATTTTTTTAAAAGACACTAAATAAAAAAAAAAAAAGGAAATGGCCAATCTGTTGCATATCTGCCTTTCTCAGCACTGTTTAAGTTTTAATTATCTTCCAGCTGTCTGAGCTGCTGTTGAGGACCTCAGAGAGAACAAAGGATAGCTGTCATATTTTTCAGCAGCACCCCTCTCTGCACACTGATGAAGTCACTAGCTGCCACTGTCCTTATTATCAGGTTAAATCAGAGTCTGAGTGTGCATTGGAGAGATGATGTTGAAAGAAAAAAAGCTTAAGTTTTACCTCTTATTCAGAATCTTTTGTGACAGAGAAATGTGGCATCTGCTTCTCCTGTTTAGGTGTTGTGACCTAGAAGCAAGTTTTGTTTTGTTTTTCAAAGAAAAAAAAGGAAAGAGAGAGAGGACTCCCTCCCATCACCAGCCCTTGGATTTTTCAGTAGCTTGGATAGTGATAACTTCTGCCTCCAGGATGTTCCCTTGTGAGCCCCATTAAGGAAATCTGCTTATGATCAAAGATGGTACCTTGATGGTGCTGCCTCCTTCTTCCTCTAGACGTTGCTCATGGATCAGGGCATGCCTTCCCCTGAGCTGGACAGGGCCCCTGTGTTCTTAATGGAGAGCTCCAGGCTGCCCTACCCATCACTGAAGTTGGGGGATTAGTTAAAGCCTGTTTGCTATTTCTAGATCTAGATCTTCAGTAAAGGATAGAGTCCTATGCTAAACAATTCCTTGCTGGAGAAAAGGAGCATGGCTTCTTTCTTGTGACTTTGTTACCATTTTTTAATGTGTATTTGAGTAAGGACTTTATGCCATTTTTGTAAATTAGGCTATAATTTTATGTAGACTGAGAAAGTATTGTAGAACTAGAATAATTAAACTTGTTGTGAGCATTACATATAACAGGCTAATCAGGAAGTGTGATGTACAGTGGTGAATTGCTAATTTGACCTCAGGATTATGCAGCAGAGATAATATTATCTTCATTTATATAGAACTTTTTATCTGGAGGCATCTCTCAATGCTTTTGCAATCATACATATTATCTTGTTAGTTATCACAAACACTATCATTAAGGCTGTAAAATGTATTCCAGTACAATTTTTTATTTTCAGTTTCTGTAACTGGGGGACAAGGGAGGGGAAGGTTCTATATTTTCTCCCACTCCTGATATTTGCACCAGGGTAAAATTTGGGAAACGACTGTTATCTAAACTAGGAGAGCCTGGTTCCATATAATGTTTTGTAAAGAAAGGCGGGGGGTCGGGGAGGGGGGACAGACATTACTGCATCCCCTTAGGTCAGCCTGAACTATTTAAGAACTGCCAGTGGGGAAAGGCCCTATTAGTCCCTTCCTGGCTCCTCTGCCTTGCACAGTATTAGGAGAGCTATCTCTCCTTTGAGAGATTTGACCTAGGGAACAGGAAAATGATCTGATCAAATTCCACCAAACCACATTCCCTCCATTCCCTCCACGATTGCAGACAGCAGCACTCAGACTTTCACGACTATGTGCGGTTGAAAGTGCTATGCTTGTTGAGTTCCTGTGGGTATAAGGAAATGGGCAAAATTAGATTCAGGCCAAGGTGCCAGGCTTAACACACCCCTTCCGCTCCAGAAAGCCCAGAGAGATTGTTACTGCCTACAGTAAAGAACCACACAGTCCGTTCTACCCAGATCATTTAGAACTTATTTTAAATGAACCCCACC